TTAACAGCCTGTTTAACTCCCCACTTCTTGATATTTCACCAGGGACGTCGGTATCACTCGGTGGACCGCCAACCGACGCACTCCGCACTGGCCGAACTGACAGACATCCGAGACAGGACGAGAGCCCTTGAAAATCTGCTAAACACGGTCAAGCACATCAAGTACGATGCTCAGAGAGCAGAGTCAGCCGCCGAGCGAAGGTAGGCGAGTCGAGACCTTTCTGTTGGTGTATTGAGCGTCCAAAGCGGTTACTATAAGTCCAGGCAGAATGCATTTTATTTGCCTGTGGGTGTGACATGTTTTCATGGCTTTTTTTCTCCGCACTCTAGCGGTAGCGTAGTTTTGGCTGTCTGCCCTTACAATCTGACCAACAAATATGTCTGAAGAAAAGTATAATTCATAAACTCGATTCGAGGAGAGCATACTGTCAGGAAACATGCACCGCAAGCCGAAGACGAACCACCGATATTCCAGACATACGCATGCTCACTTGCAATCCCCGTACACGTATAAGTATGCTCCACATCGCTACTCGCAGGGCGCGCCTACAGCTGCCGCGTACTATGTATTTGCCGGTCTCGCGAATTTTCTCTCTAGGATGGGTGACTGAGTGTTGGGCAGGATTCTGAAGCATACCACTTTAAAATCTGTGGATTCTTGCACTTAACACTTTTCATCGAATACTGCCACCTACATCGAAATAGCGGAGTAAGGCTCATGTCTGCAATTGCCTAGTACAACTGCAAGGGGTTCGGGTTACCATTGGTTCCTGTGGTTAAAATGTCATCAAGTAAACAATCCTCGAAAACTGTGCTGCTGCCTGTCGTTTGATAAGTCTTGGCAAGGCGTACTTTCTTCGTAGCGGTCGATAGCACTCAAGCCAAGGTTCGGCATAAAATTTCGGAAACTTTACTTACTATCTGCGACTGTTCATCGACCTAGAGGAATGTTGGTCACGGCATGTGACCAAGTAAATAATCCTCGAAAACTATGCTGTTGCCTACGTTTGATAGGTCTTGGCAATGCGTACTTTCTTCGTAGCGGTCGATGGCACGCAACTCAAGGCTCGGCATGAAATTTCAGAAACTTTACTTACTATCTGCGACTGTTCATCGACCTTGAGGAGAGTTGGCCAGCCCCTTGATGGATCCAATTCTTGGCAATCACAGAATGTCCGCTTCAATCGAACATGTAGCGAAAGATTTTCGCCATCTCTAAATAGCTCTGTCGCGCATGCTGGCTACTAAACCTCAAAGTTAAAAGGGACAGCGCCTATAGAGCTGTTTTGGATGTGCTGATGTAAAAGGCATTTAGAAAGATCAGGATTACGTTAATGATAGTCCAACCGTCGTTGTCGACGATGTCCACCGTGTGCTTTACTGCAAGGTGAAGCAGACACGGTGACTTGCGCGTGGTTTAGTTTATGGTGGATGTAGACTTGCACAGCATCTACCGCACTCTATCCTCCTCTCCCACCTGGGTCCGGTGTTGAGACAGAGTCAACAAGACCAAGGCGGGGGGCGCGGGTGGGTTGTTCGGCCGGACCCGCGCCTTTGCGTGCCACTCCACAGCCCCGGGTCTATACGACTGATGACCTGAATTTAACCAACAAAAAGGGTGGCTGATGAGGCCGAAGCGCACCGTGACAGCTCCAAGCGCGTCAGATTGTTTATAATGAGGAGAAATGCGCTCAGTCGTCGACCTCACTCTCCCTACCCACGTCGGTGATGCTGCTGCTGTTGGTGATTGATGATGACGACGATTATGATTATGGTGATGAAGAACATTAAGATGATGATGAGGATGATGATGATGGTGGCGGCGGCGGCGGTGATGATGATGATGCTGATGATGATGATGATGACGACGACGACGATGATGATGATGATGATGGTGGTGGTGGTGATGGTGGTGGTGGTGGTGGTGGTGGTGATGGTGGTGGTGGTGATGGTGGTGGTGGTGGTGGTGGTGGTGGTGGTGGTGGTGGTGGTGGTGGTGGTGGTGGTGGTGATGGCTACGGGAGGGGACGTGAGGGAGGTAGCGCGGAGCGGAGGAGGACAAGTAAGACATGCGTAGAATTTGAGGCCTCCATCTGCAGCACGATGGTTGGAATTAGTAACTTAAAAATCACACCTTGCGTGACGTTTGTGCTTATTCGACCACACAGAAATGTCCTTTAACTGGTACTGCAACTGCAGTTAAATTTGATATCGGCGATTCGGTCCTGCGCCCCACCACCAACGCCTTCGGGCCTAGTGACACCCCATCTCCAGTAGTTTCCTCGATCAAGAGTATCAGAAATCACATACTATACTTATTACCACAGATCGGATTGTTGTCGACTGCCATTTATGAACCAATAAAAACTTGTCTGGTTTTGATACATACACTCGGACTAAACATTTCCCTCGTGACGAAAGTTTTTGCTGAGTACCCACCAAACAAACAATAAAAGACTAAATATTGAATAACATACAGCTTTAATTTCGCCTACTTTTACGTCATTGTGATCGTAACTAACGCCTACCCTTGTCACGGGATTGATTGGGCCTACCGCAACCGCTGGGCGCATTTATTTTTAAATCTTGTTTGCATTGTGTTATCGTGCACCCCTTCACCTAGTTTTGTTTTCACGCCGTCAGCTTCCGTCACGTTCACCACCAACTGCATCACCGATCTTCAAAACGTCTTTAGCCCGCAAAAATCGCCGCTCTCAGCGGTGAGTCACGGCATTTACACTCTGGCACACAAATGCTCCCCCCCTGTCCTCCCGCCGACCCCCCTCCCCCCGTTTTGCACCCGCGCCAGCCCCCCCTTCGGATACCCCCCCTCCCGCCGCCGCGCTGTACTAGTTATCATTTTAAATTGAGACTTTAAACCGCAACTGATTGCAGTTGGCGCCACAGCCGGTCTGAAAGGCATGATCCAGTGCGCCCTGTTCGATGCGAAACCGAGCTGCCGCCATCTCAGGTCCCTGTGGGTGAGCAGAGGACTGAATACCACCGCCAACGCCATCAACAGCAGCGACAGGAAAGACAATGGGATCTCCCAGTCGCACGCAAGAGCGCTGGTAACTACAGGAGGCCAGCATGTACTTCTTCCCTGCGTCGCGGTAGGCCGTTCTGTGAGGTCTGTCGGTGAGTTTTATTAGTGGATAAACGCCAGGCTAACTGCTTCCCCCCGGGCTAGAGGCTTGCAACGAAGTTTCTATCATAATATGCGGAGATGTCGTTTCACAGCCCGTTCATCTGAATTTCCCGAATTTCATGCTCTAAATTGTTGCCTTCTTTGTTGTCGGAACGGTCTGGATGGAACAGGGTGGGGATCGATTTACTATTTAATTTCCATTTATGAATGGTTCGTGGAGAGGTGACAACTGTCCATGTCTCCGTCTCGAGCACACAAGGCTGGCTCGCCATGCTCTCCCCAATGTTGTCTGATGTCTCAACAAAAGCATGCACGCGTATCAGTCGAGTAAATTCGTCCATGGGCGGTTTACCGACTGAGCGTAATTCTTGCGGTGCCTGAAAGAATCCGCGTGAAATACTACGACTCGGAATGGATTTGGACGGAATGTTTTTGGTCGACTACTGAAAGAATCTCACCATCGTTGCATGGTCAATCAGGGGCATTGGGTTTCTGCAACACAGTCACTGCTCTCTCCCCGTCCTGGAAGCTCGTCGTCCAATCTTGTCGCACGTAGAACAAAAGTCCGAATCCCAACCTCTGAATCTACCAGCCCACACAGCGGGTCCACCGGCAGCGCGATCAATCCACTAGCTGATACTCTTGGAGCAGTTCCTTTCGGGGAATTTCCTCGCGACGCCAACTGGCCCGCTCATGCTACTACAGGTAGTCGTAGTCATTAAATGGGAATAATCAACAGTTGGACTGTCGCGAGCGACGATGTTCACTGAGTGTCCATCGGATGGGTGCAGCACAGAGGAGTCGCGCGCGAAGTAATTTATAGTGAGGGGGACTTGCACAGTCCCTACCGCACTCGCTCTTTCACAACCCACCTTGCTCCAATGACAAGACAGTGCCAAGAGACGAGAGGTTGACACCGGTGCAGTGAATGAGAGAACTAAACAACCCGTCTCCACGTGCCACACACGGCCTCGTCCCACTAAATGCATTAGGATTCTGCACAAACGACACGGGTCTCGCATGGGTGGGGTGCTACAGTGGCTACATCACTATGTCCTGGGGTTGCATTACCCCATCAGTTGGCAACCCTCCAAGCCACGACTTTCAGCGGGTTAGATTTATTGCATTGAGGATTGCGCCGGCATGACGTGAAGATGAGTTCCCAGTATCGACCTTGCACTTTCATCCTTCTCCCATGCATCAGCCGAATGTCCGGGTCCGGAAACAGACGGGTGGTGAGACTGGAAGCAATGACTTACAAACAGCCAAACAGCCTGCCTACACACACCACGCACAGGCCAGCGTGTCCGGGTTACGATTGCGGTATGTCTTCTCTTACAGTTGAGGAAACCGACATAGAGGTCCTGTACATCAAATCGTTGTCGGCAAGCAAGAGGCGAAATTTGCAACGAAAGTGTCATCTACGATAACCGGTTGAATCAGCGTGTTCGGCCCTTCGCGACTGAGGCATGAGAGGTTCTTTCAAAATCAGAACGCCCTTCCAGAATCATAAAACCGATTAAATGGCACTTATCCGCGGTTAGTCTGTCTGCTCACACAGGGGATGTCTGATTACGGGGACAAGGTCGTTAGGCACGATGCCATTAGTGACACGATGATCAGGTAAGACATGATCGTTATTGGGACACCGTGAGGGGTGTCAGATCCTGCTTTGCCAAACTTATCAAGCGGAGCACATCAGGGTTCTGTATGCAACAAAGCCGTCACTCTGGTGACTTCTGTCTATTCCAACAACTCAGACCTTGACCTGATGATTATAATGCTCTGAGTACACTCTCTCGCTGCTTAGCCGCTACATGTTCATCGCTCGCATCAAGGTATGCTCCGCTTGATAGGTTTGGCAAAGCAGAATCTTCCATAGATATTTTGGCAGATTTTCAATAATTCATGTTGACCGACTGTAAAAAACTCGGTCCCTCGGTGGTATTCGAACCCACACAGTAAGGGGAAGGCCTTAGTACAGCCAACGCTTCAAACACTTGAGCTACGAAGCACCGCCGGACGATGCGAGTTTAATCACATTTGGGTCAAGTTAGCCGCCAACCTACTGCAACGTCTGGAATCCACCAAATCTGATACAGTAAGTTGACTGCCTAAGCAGGATTTCCTAAGTAATTCACCTAGAATCCACCAGGTGACTACCCGGCTCCCGAAATTCATAGATGTTTTGTCAGATTTTGAATAATTCTGTAGTTCAAATGGTTAGAGCGTTGGCTGTACTAAAGCCTTCCCCTTACTGCGTGGGTTCGAATCCCACCGAGGCGCCGAGTTTTCACAGTTCGGTCAACATTAATTATTAGAAATCTGCCAAAATATCTATGGAAGATTCTGCTTTGCCAAACCTATCAAGCGGAGCATATCTTGATGCGAGCGATGAACATGTAGCGGCTAAACAGCGAGAGACTGTACTCAGAGCGTTACAATCATCAGGTCAAGGTCTGAGTTGTTGGAAAAGACAGAAGTCACCAGAGTGAGGGCCTTATTGTATACAGAACCCTGAGTTGTCATTTCAAATGACAGAGGTCGCTGGCAAAGCCAGAGGTTGCCGGTAACTGTGCCCAGTCATGCCTGAGAGTCCATAAGACGACAGTAGCAGCAGTTGTCTTTGTAGGTTTGTGGGGCAAGTTCAGGCGGTGTTTAGTTGGCATGTAATGCATTCCTCGAGACGTGGCTTACTTTACTAGTCCCAGAGGAGGGGCGGTTAGTGTGTTCAAGCGGCGCATGGGCCGCTGCGACTCTGTGAACGCATGTGCCCGGTCAAGCGGTTGCAGGCCAGCGCGTTCGGAACTGCTTGCTACGAAGGCGAGTGACCTTGACCAACCGCCGACCAATCAACTTCAAGGCTGATTGGGATATAATCTCGTTCCTGGCCATCTGACCTTGACGCAACGGGACCTAGAACAAGGACGCCAGACATGGCCATGATGGCTGTCGACAGCAAACACAAGGAGGGTCCCTTCCAAGTCAATCTCTGTCCTTGGCTCCCCAGATTCTTTAACGGGGTCTACAGTCGCCGTGGACTTGAATCCTTCCCAACTTCAGGGCCCTGCAGGGCAAAAGGATCTTATTCATTACGCACGGACCTCCTTTCGAGCTGACTGCTGCTTCTCCTCCTTCTCTGCGATACTAGCAGGCTTCGGCAACAACTCCTAGAGGATTGACCCACTCATCCAAAGTGTGCACATCATATCTAACTTCTTTACTATTGTCGTTCGTCCCACAGCCCACCATAGTTCCCACCTCACCCTGCTTGTTGTCTTAAATTGATGTCGTTTGCTCGATTCGTCAGCTGACAGTTTTTGCCTCCTCGACCACGCCATCACGTAGTCTGATGCAACAACCTCCTTTTCGCACTGCATAGGCTTGAATACCAACGAGGCGACTGTTGTATCTGCACCAAGACTCGCATTAGATCCGATCTGCGCGTCTCAGCCTGGTCCCGCTTTCCCTCATATCCAATCTCCGCCTCCTCTACAACCCCCGCCACCACCGCCGCTGCTCTGACCAATGAGCGACATGTGCTTCCCCCAACCAACAATCCTGCCTCTGACGACCACCAATGGGGTGCCGGTTACAGAAGACCCTACAAAACCTTCACAACGAGATTTGTATGTCCTTAGTATATGCATATATGTATGAATTGGAACGCAGGCATCCCAAGAAATATAATTTGAAATCAAATAAGTTATTTGGGAGAGAGCTAAAACTTTATTAAGTAAATTTTCGACGTCGGTTCCCCGTGTCGTCGTCAGACTAGAGTAAATGTGCAGAAAACAATTAAACTTCAAACGTACTACAAAATCAATACTCATTTGGTGCCCCAACCAGTAAGCTGCCGTCGTATGCGTCAGTCCGTATTAATCGGCTTTTGTCTCATCCACTTTTCTCTGAGATTATTGTACGTGGCATCTAACTCAATATGCATGTTGATGCATGATTCATCGGAGTGCATGGCTTCAAGAAACTCTCGGCCTTTTTTAGATGGGCAAACTCCGACGATGCGAGTTTTGTCCCATGCGAAAGTGTGCCCAGTATCAAGTGTGCATGGCCATTTGAGACAAGTGGTATCGCCTCTTAACGGACTGACGCATACGACGGCAGCTTACTGGTTAGGGCACCAAATTAGTATTGATTTTGTAGCACGTTTGAAATTTCAATTGTTTTCTGCACATTTACTCTAGTCTGACGACGACACGGGGAACCGAGGTCGAAAACTTACTCAATAAAATGTTATCTCTTTCCCAAAGGACGTATTTGATTTCAAATACATGCATGTTTATGCTCTAGTGAGCATGTTAAAACCATTCCTCGCATTTATATGTATACATAGGTAGCGCAACACACCATACTTTGTAGCGCAGGTGCTAGCTAAAAGTCCAGACACTTGTTTCACTGATATTCAGCCGTTTCATGGCACAGCTGCGAGGGGTTCGCCACCTCAGTGGGGCCCCCAAGAGTTCTCAGTGCGCTTTCTGTCAGATTCTCTAGTTTTGATACTGTAGAGGGGAGTAAATCAGTCTATTCGAGACTTATGTATGTTGAAGTCAACGATGCTCTTTTGGATAAGGAAGTTTATCGTGTAAATTTTCGACGCCGGTTTCGCAGGTCGTTGCAGACGCTGAGAAAATGTGTTAAGACTGTTTTGGCTTTAAACGTTCTAAAAAATCGATGCTTGTTCGATGTTTGCGCCAACTGGCGGCCGTCATGCACGTTATTATGAATTGATTAGTTCCTGTCGCGTGAAATAAGTTGACAATAAACCCACTTCTAGATGTTGTCTTCCCGCGAAGGACTAAAGTACCATTACAGACATCTGTTCACTTCAAAGAAGCTTATGCGGAAGTGGTCCTGAAATATGAAAACGACAAACAACCAATCTCTCAGAAGTGGGATACAATTAACAGTCTGCATCATCGAGCAAAAATCCACTGTTCTGAAAAAGAAAGCTATTGATTCGAGTTAAATTAACTGTTTGAACTATTTTCCCCATATGGTTGTCATTGCGATTTTGTACTTCGATGCATGAAACAACAACGGTCAAGAGAAAATAAACAGGACAGTTTTAATTCGGCACCCAAAGAAAGTACTTGACGAATCCTCCCGTATATAAAGGACGCGCCTAAACTTCTTGGAAGACGTTTGAGGAAGCACCCAATACATGTGCCGCAAAGACCTACGGCTTCTCTACACATACAGCTATTACACTCTGGGAATGAGGTTGGGTATCTTAATAGGCAGAAAGTCATCTACATGATCCTGTGTGATGCTTGCGACGACGTTTACTGTGGTCAAACAACGAAATCCTTCTCTACACGTATTCACGAACATCAGCTGGTCGTAAAGGGGTGGGACCACCTGTCTTGAGGTGGCCATGAGTGCCAAACTCGCATTGTCGGCGTTGGGTCCACTATAAAAGGCCGAGGCTTTCTCGGTGCCAGACAGATGAGTCATAGAGAAGAGACGAGAACAACGGAATACGCAATTAGGTGGGCGGCGGCCGCTTACTGGGGCACACACCGCATAAGTACCGATTTTTTAGAGCACGTATGAAAAGTTAAATGTTTCATGCACGTTTTCTCAACGTCTAACGATCGGGAAGTCAATGTCTAAGGGATCATGCCCCAAGTGTTCCACAAATAAGCCAGAAACGGCCATCCCCGTCTCTCCTGATTTTGACGGTAATGCTATTCTGCCTATATTATCTGCCGCTGTACGGCTGCTGGCAGGGTTAGAGAGAGAGCCCCAAGGCAGAACAAGACGAGTGAGTTCCGTAACGCCATCGGCGATCGCCTCTCTACCATCAGAGGGGAGACGACAGAGTCTGGGAGATAGATTGATACAGCGCTGTTTCGGGGTTGTTTGCCTTCATTCAGCCAATCATAACCCTGACCAACAGCTGGGACCAGAAACACAAACATGCGCACAG